GTATTGCTCAACGGAGATTTACTAAATATCTGTAACTAATTATGTAAGATATACCAGATATTATGCTAACTATAAATAGAAAATTCTAATTAATGATAAGAGATACACCAAATAGTCGAAAAACAGAATGTAAATCTTTAGCAAATCTTCCGCAATATTCCTTGATCACGCTTGCCTCTTACTTGATCTGATAAGAAGGCCGTATCTCCCTTTTAGCATTGACTAACAACAGATAGGCTACTTCATTGGCTTGTCTTGAGCTAAGCTCCATTTCACAGTGGCCACACAAGCTGGAGATTTCTAATACAATTGGCTTCGCCTTCCGCCTACTACTCGGTCTTCCTGGCAAGGGAAAAAACCACTTCATAATTAGTCTCCGTTGTTAATGTTTGAATATTTAAATCATAAATCACTACAAAATCTCACATTATATCATAGCAGAAGATCATGAGTTCAAATCTTTCCAAATTTCATTTGTTTTCTCAATTAAATATGTCCGGCCACCCTACAACATTACCAAACTCATTTCGTGCTATACAGCCAATCCTTGCTATATTCCCAGCTTTTTTATTATCGAATATATTCCCAGCTTCATCAAGTGCACAATCACAATTGATTTTGACATAACCACTTTCGGTTTCTGCCAGTACCTCGGAACCATGCCACGAGCCAAGGCAGGGGGGCTTCTCTTCTTATCGCTCTCATGTTTAACCTGAAAGAACTCATACAGTACACTGCATAAGGATCAAGTACCCTACGTTGAAAAACAGCTTCCCATCTCCCCTTCCAGATGTACCAACAAGTCAGCAACACCCTGGTCATAAACTCCCACTTCGTCTCTACACTCCTAAAATTCAAATACTCATGCAACAGCCTGTCAACAAATGGAGTAACATGACCTTTATTCAACACACAAGCCAAACTTCCAAGCCATACACTATTAGTCCAATCACAAAAAAAAGCAGGGCATATCCAATAGACTCTTCATGAGAACAAAAAGGACACTTAGTTGTTCTGCTAATCCTCCTTCTAAACAAATAACCAAGAGCTGCTATTGCATTAGTACATTTTCTCCTGCAAACATGTTGAATCTTTGGAGGTCAATCAGTTTTTTCAAATGAGTTGCCAAAGCTGCTTATCATCTACATGGGATGAGGATGGCTGATCTGTAATGCATCTATCTTTCCTCCTCTGGATAAACCAGTACCCAGTCTTTACAGAAAAGCCCAGTTTTTGTACGGGACCATATAAGTTTATCATCACCTGCTCTTGGACAAATAGGCATAGCTCTAATATTCAAGGCTTCTTCCTCCTTCAGCAAAAGAACCACATCTGACAGTATTAGTAAGTTACTAACGATTAATATGACAATCAAGTTACCAGTCATACCTTTTTTTAACCGACGATATCAGAAGTTTACCAAGAACTACAGAAATCTACCAACTACGAAATTTTTTGTTTCCCAGATTTTCCCTTCAATGGATCCTAGACTCGCCCGTGATCAATACTAGTCAGTTCGGTCACGTATATATGTCCATCAATGTAATGAAAACTGGTGGATTCCTAAACGACACATCAACAATAGTTGCCCAAAATACATATTCAAACGAAAAGAGAGGCCCAGCACATGAGCCCAATAGAAGTTGAATTGCAACATTTCATCTTCTCAGTTCACTAGAGCTCGACCAGCTATGATTTGCCTATGTATAGACAGAATCATGTGGATATCGACTCCCAAAATAGGGAGTCGAGAGACAGCTAATGCAAACAAAATGATTGACTCTTCATCACCTGTCAGTGGAGTAGTTGACGTTGATGTTTAACTAAATTATTTTTGTCTTGACATGTGTCAACCACCACATACAAATGTTTTTCACCCTTCAATAAATCAGAATGTTCACGTAAAGAAAAACAGAAATTCATAAGTTGCGGCATCGCTTTCTTTGATTGGGCTTCGACGTCAGATATGCAATTGCTTCGCCTGAATTTTCTTTGGGAAACAGCAACCAAATCCATGTTGAATAGCTCAGTTTACCAAAAAAAAATCTTTTTTTAAGGACAATATGACCTTCTGATAAAGAATTAGTAATTGCCAATGACCATTTAGTAGTTCTTCGTGGTTGCTAAGTATACCCTGTGATTGTATGTCACCTTTACTCGTCACGAAAGCATTTGATTCTTGTCCTGGATCGGAGTTGTTCCTATATGAGACAAATTACATGATTGATTCCTCCTCTACTTTGGTAGCAATATATAGAACTTAAGGTAGATGGAATGACCAACCAAATGATTGATTTGGTGGAGCTAGGCCTAGCTATTGTATATGTCTTGCCAGATATAATGAGGACAAGGGTATGTGTACACACTTTAAAGATAATAATAATAATACCCATCACCAACTTTTACCAAAAGTGGTGTTTTGATGATCAGCATTAAGTTATTGTTTACCAGATTAATGTGTTGAGGATCCCTTGATGATGATGCAGTAAAGTAATACTATATATTAACTGCATTTTTTCTCATTAGCCATGTCTAATTGATTAATGAAAGACAAAAGCCTTCGTCCAGATGGATAAGCCCTGGTCCAGGTGGATACTCATCTCATTTCTTTAAGAATGCTTAGCATATTGTCAAGTATGATCTTGTTCGAGCCATCATGAACTTTTTTTCAGGAGTCGAAGCTGTCAAAAGCGTCGACCTCTGCTGCTATTGCATTGGTACCTACAGTTCGAAATGCCTCCAGAATGACTGAGACTATAGGCCCATTTCCTGTTGCAATGTTGTATACAAGTGCATAACCAAGAGCCTTCCCGATAGATCAAAGGTAGTACGCTCTGTATCTATCATTGGTGAACAGCACAAGGCCATTTCTGGTGGCAAGGGGTTACAACAAGAAGACTTTCTCCTCATATCCATGAGATGGTTATTGAAGTTCCTTCTAAGTTGCTTGATCAAGCTGCTAAGATAAGTGTCTCTGAATCTTCATGCTCCTTGTTTGCCTCGCACGCTAAAGCTGAGCTAACTAACTTGCCGATGTAAGCATACCGGTAATCCGACAAATACGTAAATTAGTACATTGCTCTTATGCAGTGCATGTGAACACATCAAGATGTAAGTTAAATATTATGTGGATTGAATGGCATTTTCGGCTCCTGGATGCTTTATCGACAAAGAGAATATAGGATTGGTGCTGGCCAGGCCAACCAAGGCCAACTTTGATTCTCCAATCCAAGATTTAGAAAATGATATTCCACATCAGATCATGCACCACGTGTGGGGATGAGATAGATCAATATATACCCCTTAATGACCCACACGTTCATGGTTTTTCTCTGATTTTAATTTGGATTTGGACTTGATTAAAGGTCCTTTTTGGGCAGCTAATTTAGGGGTTAGGGAAGGTGCACCGTCAGAATATGCTGTGGTTGTGATAGTGCTCAATGACCCACTATCCTTAATCAACCAAACTCCTACTTCATGTCATCACAAGCATCAACTCCTAATCATTCGAGCTTTGTCCTCATCCTGTCCCACGAGTATCCTTAGATTCTCCCCCAGGCTCTTCATTATTCCATTGCAGACTAAAAGATAGCCTCGAATTATGTCTTGACACGATTATTCGAGAGAGCACAAAAGGTAGAAATGATTTGGTTAGCCATGGGGTTCTGCTTTATCCAACGTTAGGTGGTGTCCTGACAGGGCGCGACTTAGTTTGGTGGTCCTGGGGAAGATTGACTTTTCCTATCTTCTGCTAGGGCAATGAGTTTGACTTGTTCCATCATTTGTCGATGGAGACTCCTAGAGTTCTCAAATAATCATATAACCTAAATTATAGTTCCAACAGCATATCTCTCGCTTCTCGAGACATAAGTCAACATGGACGATTTAGATACTCTTTAGAATACCCAAATTACTCTTGAAATTCGATGTGTTATCCGCCACTCACTGCCCGTGAATATGTTACTAATCGAATAACATAAACAATCCATTCCGTGCATTTAGTGACCATGTATTTTGTATATGAATGATCTATCGCGATTATAAGTAGTTTCAAAAGATAGAAAATATTACTTATTTCGACAAAACTCTAAACTAGCATAAGGTTTCTTAATTAATAGGGTTCCAACCGATCTCTTAAATCTTTTCCAAAGCACTCTCGCCATACGTTTATCAATGCACAAATCCAAAGCACTAAAGTTCATAATGATACCGCTCCTTTGACAATAATTGTGGCCAACTAGTATAGCCTTTCCTCTATCTTTAACTCCCTTTTTTCAAAGGCAATTCACGGGTGTGTATTTTGGCCCACTCGCTCTATCTACTTTTAGGCCTACAATAGATTTGACAGATTAATATTAAGTGACATGATAGAATTTAAACAAATGTTTAAACAATAAATGGATCGGATTCAACATCTAATAACAGGCCGCCATATTATTTTCTACACCAATTTTGCAAGCCAAACTTGCTATTATTCTAAAGGAATAAGTTATCACCAATAACAGAAAAGAATTGACTCGGATGTCATCATCTTGTAAAGATACCATCACTGCTATAACCTCCGCAACATTTGTCAAGAAGTCACATCTATGTTGTAAGCGACAGCGCATTGTGTATCTTTTTTCACTGCTTAATCTTATACTACTGTTCTATACTGTACTAAACCATACTTTAATACACTACTGTGCTGTACATTGCAATAGCTCAAAAGTGTGATATTGAGTTTCATTGAAAAAAAAATGGATGTTCCTTTGATCCTGTACCTGGTTCAGTTTTTCAGCAATTTACCAAGACAAGCAATGTTCATTTGGCCATCTCAACCGATCCCCTCTTTTTCCTAACTTTTGGAAAAGGTCAACTGTCAATTCTCTGAAGAGCCGTTAATTGCGCCAACTTTGTTATAATTCATAGCAAAGACAGAATTACTTACTTGTTACCAGCTCCACAGAGACAGACAGACAGACAGACAGAGAGAAAGAGAGAGGGTAGGAGAGGAGTCACCTTCCTTATGGCTTCAACCTCAGACATTCCAACGCGCTGCAACCCCACCTACACATTGAATTACCTGTATTGACATATCCCCCATTATTCTGCTTCCCATTTTCCCAATCTACCCTAACCGTTATGAGAAAGCCAGAGGGTTTCTTTCCTCTTCTTCTCATTGTTCTGTCTGTGAGCTGAAGAGGCTATCTATATATATCTAACCAAGCAAACAGAGACCTATCAAGTATCAAAGTCCTCACCTCTGTCTCTACTTCCATCTGTTCGCCTGGTACTGAAGGTTCCTGAACTGGGTCTCTCTTTGCTGGTCATACCACTTCAAGGTATGACTCCTCTGCCACCTGCATTATCTGTTCCTGTGCATAGATTGTCCACTAATTTAACACTTCGCGAATAGGATTGAAATCGCATCCATGCAGTCGTGTCAATCGCTTCTGTTATGTTGTTTTGTTGTTCTTTTTGGTTTGATCGTGGAGTCCCAACGTCCTATTGCGATGTGTCTTCTGTCATTCTTATCATGTTTCGGAACTATGAGTTCTGCTGATTCGCAATCTTGGAAAAGCACCGAAACAACGTCATCTCTCAATACTTCTTCATATAGCATTGAACAACGCATGGGATGGATGACACCGTTATAAGTAGGCCTTTTTTTTTGGGTGCCCTCTTCTAGTTTAGAAGGTCTTATTATTGCCTATAAATTTGTCCTTCTGGATAGTGAAGCGCTCTCGAGTGATTAGTCCCAGCATTTAGTTTGTTTGCAGTGTATGCATGATCATGTTTTCATGTTGCTTTAGACATTTTGATACATAAGAAAATGGATTTGACATTTTTCCAGTGAAATGCCGGGACTAGTCATGTATGATTCAATGGGAGATTACAGAATCGATGATTCTGGTGGAAATCAGTCATTCTACAAGGAGAACTCCACCCAACAATTTTCTCCAAGAAGTCCACTGAGTCCACACACCCCTAGTCCTCATAGTGATTCCGATGATCTGGCCCTGGATGGTGTGGTGGACACCTCGATCGAGCAACTTTATTACAATGTATGTGAGATGCAGAGTTCCGATCGGTCCCCCTCAGGGCCCAGTTTTCTGTCATACGGAGAGGAGTCTCGGATTGATTCAGAGCTCTGCCATCTTGTCGGTGATTTCGGAGCATTAGAAATTATGAAAGAGGTTGTGATTGAGAAGAAAGAAGAGGGTGACCGAAGCAATTCTAGTGGCGGTGACTCCACTCCAATCAATGGTAGTGAGTTCACCAAAAACCCGAAAGCAACGCCGAAGCAGAAAACACTGAAATGCACGATGAAGAGAACTGCTTCCAAGGGGAAACCTCCAAGAGGCAAGATAAGTCAGAAAAGTACTAGAAAACCAAATCCCACTTCCTCCGCGAAGAAGCAACGAGATCCTACTATAATTGCAGCAAGATCCCAACAAGGAGTCGGTGATTCTACTGATACAGGACTAGAGAACCTGGACCTTGGACCTTTCTTGCTGAAACAAGCAAAAGACATGATGTGTGCAGGAGAAAATCCACAGAGAGCCCTGGAAGTGGCTCTTCGAGCTATGAAAGTTTATGAAAAATGTTCAAATGGCAAACCGAATCTAGATTTTGTCATGTGCTTGCATGTTTTGGCAGGAATACACTGCAACTTAAGTCAGTTTAGTGAAGCAATTCCCATTCTTGAACGCTCAATTGAAATACCGGTATTGGAGGAAGGCGAAATACATGCACTTGCAAAATTCGCCGGGTGTATGCAGTTGGGTGACACTTATGTAATGCTTGGACAGATCGAGAACTCAATCTTGTGTTACACTGCAGGTTTGGAGATACAGAAGCAAGTTTTAGGTGAAACGGACCCACGAGTGGGCGAGACATGTAGGTACCTGGCTGAGGCTCATGTTCAGGCATTACAGTTTGATGAGGCTGAGAAACTTTGCCAAATGGCTCTTGATCTCCACAAGGAAAACGGGTCATCTGCTGCTTCTCTTGAGGAAGCAGCCGACCGGAAACTCATGGGACTAATTTGTGATTCAAAAGGAGATTATGAATCTGCCCTTGAGCACTATGTACTAGCAAGCATGGCCATGGCTGCCAAGGGCCAGGAAATAGACGTGGCTCTGATAGATTGTGGCATAGGAGATGCATATTTATCTTTGGCTCGGTATGATGAGGCGATGTTTGCATATCAGAAGGCACTTACGGTGTTCAAGTCGACCAAGGGGGAGAATCATCCATCAGTGGCTTCAGTCTTCGTCCGATTAGCTGACTTGTACAACAAGATAGGGAAGTTTAGGGAGTCCAAATCTTATTGCGAGAATGCACTGAAAATTTACGGGAAACCCAATCCTGGGACACCCTTGGATGAGATAGCTAATGGGTTGATTGATGTGTCTGCCATCTATCAATCCATGAATGAATTGGAGCGGGCGCTGAAGTTACTTAAGAAGGCTTTGAGAATATATGAGAATGCCCCAGGAAAGCAGAGTACAGTTGCAGGAATAGAGGCCCAGATGGGAGTCATGTACTACATGATGGGGAACTATTCTGATTCCTACAACACTCTGAAGACAGCCATTTCAAAGTTCCGTGCCAGTGGTGATAAAAAATCTGCTCTGTTTGGCATTTCTGTGAACCAACTTGGCCTTGCCTGCGTCCAGCGTTATGCCATAAATGAGGCTGCGGAATTGTTCGAAGAAGCAAGAGATATTATGGAGAAGGAATACGGGCCTTATCACCCAGATACCTTAGGTGTATACAGCAATTTAGCCGGCACATATGACGCGATGGGCAGGTACAAATTATTTACGTTTCCTACTGTTAATTCTTAGCAGAGTAAGGTCACTTTTCCATATTTTGCATCCTATATGTCATCTTATTCTCTCTATTATGGTTGGTCCATGTTATTTTGAGTTCTTCCTTCTTTAGTTGATAATTTTTCCCCTTATAAAGTGGAAGCTGGGAATTCAATATTTTGGCATGACAGCTTTAATAGGATTTCATCGCCAGAGCTGACAGTAACACCAAGCTTCAAAGCAGTTTTCAATTATGAATGGAAGTAACTAAATATTATATAATTGTAGCTTACTAGTTCCAGTGATTCTTTAACATATAGTAAAGAGTGTTTATTTTGTTCTCCATTGCATCTGGATCCTGTTGTTTTTATGAAGTTGGCGTGGGATGTGATCATATTCTCAAGAGCATCCGACATTGTTTTCTAACGTAAACTTTACACAAGCTCTTTGTTCCCTCTAGCTTGAATATCATATCATTCACTTTCCTTTTGACACATATAAGGTCGGACGACGCAATCGAGATTTTGGAGTATGTTGTCGGAATGAGGGAGGAGAAACTTGGAACGGCAAACCCTGATGTGGAAGATGAAAGGCAGAGGTTATCTGAGCTTCTGAAAGAAGCAGGCAAGGTCAGGAACAGAAAATCCAGGCGATTAGAAACCTTACTTGACACCAATACCGACACCATAAAAGATGAACGAATCAGAGTACTATAACAATCGAATGTACCTATATAACCGTGGTGTAATATATAGTTTATGGAGGATTAGGTGGACGGTTCCTTTGTTAGGTCCCTGCTGGCGAAATTGGACGAATAACAGCACAGCAGCAAACCGTCCTGGTTTTACTAGTGGATATTGGATTTTAGTGTGCTTAAACATTTCATTCTTGCACTTGGATGTTTGGGGAGCTGAGTAACGTTCTTGTCATGGACTCATTTCTATTTGTATATGTGAAGTTTGGATTGAAAAGTGGTAATGCATCATTTTCTCTTCTTGGTACACCAAACTGATAGCAGCAACTTCCGTAAGTTTCTACTCTAAGAAAACAACTGGCAAGTGGCTCTACACTATATCTGTTTTTCCTGGCCTATGTTCCTAAAGATTACGATTTCATTCATAGCTAGATGCAGTTAGAGAAGTAAAGAGGTTTCTGTAATAGTCTTCCATGTAGTTATTTTACAACGCCCTGTGAACTGAGCAGAGTAAATCTCTGTAACTGGAGGATTATGTTTAACCATCATTCTGCTTAGAGGGCAATTACCTGAGCTTTTAGACCTTAAAGCTGAGGAACATCAGTTCCACTCAAAGACTTCAATCAGCAATGCTGATATGTAGTAATTGAATTGACTAGTACTACAATTCAAAGCTTGAAACATAGTGCCCCGCCTCTTTCAATATATAAGGTGGTCTTGGGCCTCTCTCACTCCAAAGCCAGCTAAGAAAGTGGGGCTTTCTCTCACACTTATAAACCGATCACCAACTCTTTCCACAACTGATGTAGGATAAACCCCAACACGATAGAGGTTTCCAAAATGTTCCTACTAGAATTATGAAGACATCGGGTAATATGGAAACCTCAGTTGGCTTCGAAAACTCTCAGAAAGACATGTTTGAATTTAGTGACACGCTCAAGACATCAACCAATTTTTCCACACGTCATGTGGTAGCATCAAGAATTAAGATAACATTACTCCATTGTTTATTTTCTTTTTCGCATGTAAGTACTGTGATATAGTATGTCTTTGCACATTCAATTCCCGTCAGAGTGCTTTCAAATCTATTCAGAAAATCTGTTCTGTGAAGGAATGAGGAGGACCGACGTTACTGGCCACCGACTAAGAGCTGGTGGATAAGATCCAAAAGTAATATCCAACTCTAAATTCCAACTCTGGCATGTAATATCCAAAAGTAAAATACTTCCGGGATGTATCGTATATGGTAACGCTCAAGAAATTAACACTAGTTCTCGACCCACTTGTGGTCATGGATTCTTTGAAGCATGACAAGACTTCTTAATTGAAACTGCAGGGTAAGAGAAAAAGCCACTGAGGATTCGGCTTGCGACCCATTTGTTGGCCGCCTCCGAGTAGTGTATGCCATCCCAACTTATGTGTTTCGATGGATCCTCACATGGATTGCCATATACGGTTCCATTTACTATAGCTTTCTTGCCACAATCAATATGGTAGCCATAGTAACTGCCACAGCAAAAACTAGATGGATCAACGAAACCTGCACCACAGTGCCACAATCATTAAACTAATGCCAGGACAGACTCCACAACCATCCTATGACAGGCAAGAAAAAACGAAATGCAAATACCTTGATCCTTTGCTTCACTAATCAAAGAATATTTGGCTGAATACACATCAACATATGTGAACACAGCCGCCGAAAGCTGTGCCCTTAGCTGTAGGATCCTGTCCTTAAGCTGCTTGTTGAAGTCTTCAGCCACCTCATTTTGAGGCCTTACACATCCATTCTGATCCAGATTACCGGGTTTAGACTGGTCATATATGATAGAGTATGGCAAGCACCCGATGGGCCCCGTGTTATGTACCCAGAACACTCTGGCCCCTTCCTCATAGAGTTGCTGAGACATAAAGCTGAGTGAGTGTCGGAATTTTGAGAACATGCGGTAATTATTGATCGAGTCTGATGCTTACATGCACTGCCCGAGAGAACTGGCTCAAAATATCCGGAATGGAGGCTATGACTTGCTCCACCGTCGTATGTTGAAAGCCATATGCAAGATCATTCTGTCCGATGTCAAAAGTGTAAAGAGCCTTCGAGAAGTCTTGAGGCCTGGGCAATCTGTAACTGAATGCCGAGCTCTTTTCTGCTGTCCAAATTTGCCAATTCAAAACCAAACGACATGTAGTCTCGTATAAGCAAAACTATATGCAGAGAGGTCTACGAAGGAAACTCACTGGACTGGTTGAGCCGATTATAAAGGTCAGTGACACGAGACTTGAACCTCACAAACTGCGATATTTGGATGCCAAGATGGAACGGACTGTAGCCACCAGGCCGAATGGACGAGCCACCAGTCGCAAAGTTTGCACCATGTCCGAAATTTGTTTCGATCGAGTCTAGATATGCACTCAAATATGGCAATTTAAGATCTTCAGCTGCACAAAACAGTATTATCGGACATAAGAGTTCAAATGTAGAAGGTAAGAAAGCTTTTCGATAGGAGTAATTATGAATTATCAACTACAAGCTCAAAAGGTCAAATTGCCGCTTTCGACTCTACTGCTCTATAGCATACTAAAGAAGCGGTAGCTGAATCTAAGGCAGGGCCGACATGGCTGAGGCTTGTCACGTTAGTATTTCAACAACCGGCACCGGCAACCATCAACAGTTGCACCTGAGAGCAATTCAAAAGCCCATAGAATACTCACAAAACGCACTGTATAAGCCAAGCTTTTCGCACGATAGACGTGATCGTTCATTTCAAAGATTTAAATGGCGAAAACAGCTGCGCCACCAAATATCTACAGGATGCTATTCTTTCTGCAGTACGCGACATGCTGAGAGCAAATCACACACAGAACCCGTGGCCAAGACAAACCGAACGCCATCCTTCCACGTTACTGCTCTGCTACGCTCACTCCATAACATGACTGACAGAATTTTATACCTTACTCGGCCTTTGGGCTAAAAGATCAAATGACTGACAAAGATACTACCAGTCACTGGACTGCCGAGAGTCTGGTCCGGTAAGAGACCAACGGTTGAAAGAAAAGGACACAAGATATCCTGGATGTCGCCCCAAGGAACGTCAATTGCACCAAAAAACAGAGGATGAACAAACACTAACCGGTCTACATCCACTACTTTTGCTAGTAAATTACTAGCCGAGCCGACTCACCAATGAAATCGACGATGAGACGACCATCGCAGAACCTGCCGGAAGGATGTCCGAAGAAGGTCTCGCCGTTGGGCGGGGCGACCTCGGACAGCGCCGCGGATATCGCTCCGGTGTCCGAATTCGAGTCGCCGAAGTTGAAAACCGCCGAGAACTCGCATCCCGTCGGGCTGCCGCCGCCGCCCCCGCCGCCGAGAGCTCCGAGCAGCTGGATCAGCACCAAGCAGAGGAAAGGCAGCCTGACCGAGGAATACATGGCGGACGGCTAATCACAAAGCTCTCAAAAGCAAGAAGCTTAACAAAAGGGCATTCGCTTGCTTCAACACAGAGAGAGAGAGAGAGAGAGAGAATGGTGAGTGCACTGACATGGAGGAAATGATTGAAGATAGATATGGAGAGGAACGAAGATGGCGACGATGGTGTTCGACAGTTCGACCGCGTTCCGCACCAGACGCAGTGATTGCGGACGAATGTGGAGTCCCACCCCCACGCCGCGTGATGAAATCTTGGCTTCACGTACAGCAGCTCACGAGGCTTGCCGCATGCAGTCCCACGCAGCCAAAAACGCCATTAATAAATATATAAAACTGAGGGATAATGTAGCACGTCCGCCCTTTCATTACAACCTCAAACGTTGTAATCATAACTTTCTTTTGACTAGTCAAAGTTTCGCCCTTTTTTCTTCCCACACTTTGACCGAATCAAAGTCCCACATTTTACTATTTATCACCGAAAATTCCAAATAGATACGTCGCGACACATTTACTTCAAATAAATTTTCGTATCACAAAAAAAAATTTAAAATTGATATAATCGTTGTTAGCTTCTCTCCAATACCCCCTTTGAATTACTAACACGGATAGGCTCTGATATGGATTTAACGTAAAAATTCAGCATAAATGACTTGTAGAAAAAACAGCATCTCGAAATTCAAGCTCATTCGATGGATCTAGTTTATGAGGAAGAGAACATCTTCAAAAGTGTAAAGAGCTGAGGTCTCTTCTGCTGTCCAAATTTGCCAATTCAAAGGTCGTTAATTTGAATTGGCAATTTAACGACTTTGAATTCTCTTCTGCTGTCCAAATTTGCCAATTCAAAGTCGTTAATTTGAATTGGCAATTTAACGACTTTGAATTGCCAATTCAAAGTCGTTAACAATTCGACCCCAAAAAAAAAAAAGTCGTTAACAACGATATTACATAACCAAATGACATGTGGTCTCGCACAAGCGAAACCATATGCAGAGACAGAGAGGTGTCTACAAAGGAATCTCCCTGGACTGTTTAAGCCGATTACAAAGGTCAGTGACGCGGGATTTGAACCTCACGAGCTGTGATGTCTGAATGCCAAAGATGGAACGGGCTGTAGGTACCAGACTGAGGGTGCACTGACATGGAGGAAATGTCTGAAGATACAGTGGAGAGAAATGAAGATGACGATCATGATGTTTGACTTTTCAACAGTGGCCCGTACGTTACCAGACGCAGTGAGCGAAGTGAGCGAGTGAGCGAGGAAGAGTGCAATGCAGTCCTGCGGAGCCAAAACACAATAAACAAGTAAATAAAAACCGAAAACGACAATGGAAGTTCGGAAGTTTTCGAATTCAAAATCGGGAAGAGATCATCGATCGGGACGAGTTCGAGTTGGCGAGGGTCGTCGTAAATCACACCGAAGTGTCAGATTCAGAATCCGCTTGCCAGAGAGCAGGCAACAGTGCTATGGAGTTTCTCTGTCTAGCACATCTCATGGAACACGAAAATGCATTAACATGCAATCACAAGTCAACTAATAGTAGGTAAGGCATGAATTGGATTGACCTATTTTTCATGTCAGGAGAATTTCAATCCTTCTCATGAGGCAAAACAGTTTGGAGTTTCAATGAACTAACCCACCCTCGCACTTGATTTAGCCAACTCAAGAGTCAAATTTAGCTATTTACAGTTTGATCTGCGCCTTCGTGCAAAATCTCTAGGCCCGACAAAGTTCGGGAGAATATTGTATTATCTTTAACTCAAAGATTAGGGACGGACCCTGAACTCGGGCTCAAGCAGTCGCGACCCAAAATATCGATGCTGACATGAATGGTTCGAAGCACGTA